GATAATGTTCATTAAAGTGAATGTTTCCATTAACTGTCAAACAACCCAGCTCCCTTAATCGCAGAGTGTCGAAAATTGATCAGGAAGATTTTTTGCTTTCGAAAATGATGTCCGGCCCTCAGAATGACCTCTAACATGAGCAGCAGCGATTTCCGAAAAATGACCTTGAATGACCTTGTCCTTGAAACATAAAAAATGAATGTCCCCCAAACTCACTGCATTCGATTCCCAGGTCAAAGGTATGTCTGGTTGCAAAGTTATTGGCGTTCAACATCTTACTAAGTAGCTGAATAGCCCTGTATTAGCAACAGTGTTTATATCCATTCCCTTGTAATGATATAAACACATTTTACCATAAAATGTCCAACTTTCCAATCTCACGACAATCATCAGACTCAATCTCTTGAAATTTATCTTTTCCTGTATCATGTTGTTGACCTTTACAAGAGTAACAAAAAACGGCTAACCTGAATTTGATTAGAAAATGGAATAAAGAAACTTTCCATTTTCTTCAATTTAATCATTCAATTTGCAAAAGGTTCACTCTTTTTCAATCAGCAAAGTTATTGTTATTTTTGTCATTCCTTTTCGTTTCATGAAAAATGCATTTCAATAATTTGCTGCAACATGTTTCAAGAATGTCAGAGTTGCACTGAAATTTCCAAATTATCCATACAATATGGTCAAATATCGTGACTAAATTGTGATTGACTTTGGCTAATCATTTAAATTGTAAATCTTTTGTGTCAACCTTTATTGTTGAATAAACTCATTGAAAGTTATCACAAAACACACATTTCAATCCCAAGGCTATCCAAGCTAATTGCTTGTCATATTGTCAAAAAGCCAATATAATACAATAAAATGTATTCCTGTTCAACTCCTTGGAGGCAAATGTGCCAATTCAAAGCTGTTCTTTATAATCCTTTGCCATGGAATTATCTGAAACATGCTAATTCTGGTGCATCTAAATTGCTCACAAATTGATTCATTTTCATGCTTTTCCTTTTTACACTTGGATCGACTACAAAATATTAACAATATAAACTTATAAATAAACTTGTTTGACAGTTTGATTATTATCAGACTTTTGTTGCAATGTAAATAGGTGTGAAATGAATAATCAGCTATTCAATTGGCTCATGTTTGGATGCTATCGCAACTCTACATTCTCCATGAAAGAAGATGAAATTTTATCATTTTTTAAAATCTCTTTTTCTTTCCTTTTCTCTCCATTCTAATAGTGTCAGCCAAAATCTTAATGCAAAATATCTGATTCAAGTTGAATGATAAATGGTTCAACAGCGATAAAGTTGCAATCATGTATTAGATTATTTCTCTCTTGATCATCATTTATTTTTCATGAAATCTGTTTCATGCAAACTTTAAACTTTTTTTTGCCTACTCGCGATATTCATCATTCATGGGTTAATAATAAAGAGAGTAACTTGAGAAACATTAATAAGTTGGAAAGCGAAAGAAAGAAAAGCGAAAAAATTGTTGTTCAATTAAATAATTCAACAAAATTTTATCAATAAAAGGATTATTTGAAAGTCGACTTTGAATTTTCAGTTTCATGGTTTAAAATGATTAATGGTGCGTCTTGGTGCATGAATGTTAGAGAAGCAATCATTCAAGATTACATGAGCTATGAGAACCTTTGGACAATTCATTTCCGTATTTTCATTGTAACTATTCAATTGTGAAATGAAATCTCTTACCCCAGTCAATGAGCAAACCATGTAAGCTGAGCCAATGGTAATTGAATCGTTGCCCATTGATTTACGGTTAATGTCCAAAGTGGCGAAAATGGTAAACACAATGAGAAAGGTGAGAACAAATTCGACTCCAAATATTTGACCAGCTCCTAGAGCTTCATGGGCCAGTGCAATGCCAAGTGCTCCTTGATGTCCAGGAATCGAAACACTAAAATCCAAAAAAAGAAAAAAAAGATTGAATAAGAATAAAATCTTGAAATTGTTTTTCATTTCATACACTTTTTAATCTGTAAAGCACTCAATATTTTTGAACTTTTTGCTTAGAATAAAAATTATTATCATTTTTGAAAAGTTTTTGTTTCTCTTCTTTGAAATCCATGGCATGGCATTGTTATGTCATGAAACCTCACAGGGAGTTATTTTTATCACATTCGAGTGCTTAGTTGCTTACTCGAAGAAACTGTTTCATGGAAGAGAAGAAATGTTTTTTTCTTTCGTTTTTTATTTTGTTCCTTTTTCTGCATATTCACATGCTCTACGAGTTGACAAGGAAAATCTTAAATATCAGAAGTCATATCAATTTGGAAATGTCTAGATACTATCTTTACTGTAAATCTCTACTCAAATGCTTTTAGAAAGTTCAATCTTGAAAAAAACGAAAAAATTTTCAAGAATTTTTCACATTTCAAAGCCAATCCATCAAACAAGTGTTTACATAAATGTCTATCATGAATGCCTGTGACACAGCTGGTCAAGTGCGTACATTTTTCATTCTGCTTTCCATTCACTTGATCAGTTTTTCCCTCAAACTGTCTGACAAGTAAAAGAATCAAATGAAACTTGTTCCGCATCATTTCAAACTGCTAACCAAGAAACACATTAATATGTGCTTTTGAGTACAAAAAACTAACTCCAACTGAAATGGATACTTTGCAATGAATCCCAAGAAACTCAAATTCATATTTCAATCCAAGTTTTCAAGTTTATTGCAATAACATGTTTGAAATCAAAGACAGTATTCAACATAATGATTCATATTTAATGGGGATAAAGTGGAAGATTAAATTACTTTATTTTTCTTTAATCTTGATCTTCACTCAGAGGTTCAAGTGGACTGGTTCTTGATCGGTAATCGGAACTTATTTCTATACATTGCACTCTAAAGTCCACAAATTCAGTCGATGTTCATCTCTGATCTTTCGAGTGATTATTATCCTTTACGACAATAGAAAATGATATTGTTTTCTCGAAAGCTCATAATATTGTAATTGTTTTCACGCTGTTTTATTACTTTTTATTCTGTTGAACAACATTGAAGGTTTGAAAATATCATTAACCAAGATGAATGTTGCCAAAATGTTAACTTTTTTTATGTGAAAACTTTAAACATTTTCCTTGTAAACTCTACATCGCAAGTATTTTTAATTGATGAATGCTAATTTATTTCCTCTCATCAAACAATTATCGTACAATCTTTACTTGCTAATGCTATGCTAACCAAAAGAAGGCGAAAAAAGTGGTTCACATCATCATTAATCTTTACAATTACAATTGAAGTAAATTATTTGATCCAAAATATCACAATATGAGCAAACTAATGATACTGGGAATGAGCAACGAAATAAAGCAGAAAAGAAAAAAAAAATGTTTCAATCGAGAGATGAAAACTTTCGGAAACTCTGTCAGGAATTTGATCATTGTGAATAAAGCTAAAATCATTAATTAACAAAATAATCATGACATTAAAATGACATCTTACATTCGGCTCATTAATTCAAAAAAACGAAAAAAAACGAAAACCAAAAAGACGATGAAAGGAAGAGGAAAATTATCAAAGTCAACTCACGAGTTCCGGTTTTCACATCACCAGGTAATTACCGCCAACCTGACTACATTAATAAATAATCATTCAAGATATCAAATATGGTGTAATAAAGCTGATAAATAATGTGCAACTTTTCATGAAAACTCTTCTCGAATGAAACATTTTTCATAATTATGTGCCAACAAGTTCAATATCATGACAAATGATCTGAATTGAGCTCAAGGCTAGCATAAACTATCCAATAAACTTTGGCTTTAGTGGACTTGAAACTTCGATAGAATCATTATTTTCATGTTACAATAATAGTGCAAAATAAGCAGATAATTCTGTTCAGATTTTATTTTTGATTTAAAAGAACTTTTTTTATTCGACTTTTCATTTTTTGAGTTTTTATAATTGAAAAGTAAAAGATGTAAAGAGCATCACATTGCCAATTTGAATGAGAAGCGAAATTTTCATTTGAAAGAATTGGAAGAAAAAGTTCAATTTTTATCATTTTATTCATCATGAAATTGAGTAAGCTAAGAATAGAAAAACTTAATGAGAAAAAGTCAATCTTTTTCCATTCTTTTTTGTTCAACAGAACAATATAATCTCATGAGGTTATTATCGTTTATCACTGATGTTTTGCTTCTTGATTACAAGTCAAAACTGTTGAACAAACAATTGAATGTTGTTGTGTTGGTAAAAGGTTGAGCGCATGAAAAGTGCAACGAAAAGCAAGAGAACGAAAAAAAGTGATGTTAAACCATGAAAAGAAAAAGTAAAGTATAAAATAAAGCAAAAGTTGAATGGATAATCATTGATGAAAGATGAAGAATAAAAGTGTCATGATAATGTCGACTAAAGGTAAGGGAATGAAAATTTTGAAAAGGAAAAAATTATTCAAAGAAGAGGGAAAAAGAATCTCAAAAACGTATTTCAAAACATTTTGCGTTTTCATGGTTGTAAAGCTCATGATGAGTTGTATATCAACATTGAATTTTGTAATGTAAAGTGAAGCAAAACTTATTGTATGAAGAAGAAAATGTTGTTCCTTACTTCTTCATCTTATTATTACAAACTCATTCATTCAGGTAACATTCACTTTATTCTGTTGATTCATTTTTCTTCTTGACTTTCCGCTTTAATATCATCTCTTAGCTTCTTCCTCACTCCCTGTTATTAACAACATGATGTTCATTGTGCATCATGAGAAGAGAGCTTAGAGTTTCACATTTTTTCTTCAGCTAAACTATAATTTAAAAGATAAACCTTTTAACTGTTTATCTGCATTCATTTTTCTTGCTCTCAAAATTCATCCTGATTTTTGTTCATTTTTACTCGGCTGCCTTTTTCCAATGAATATTTACATGGAAACTTCCGATATAATAAACAAATGTAATCACAGTTGAATGGAAAACAGGAAAATAGTGAAACCATATTCTAGTGAATTATGCATTCCCTTTTAGCTGGGCTCAAATGAAGAGAACAATCAGAATTGTTGAGAGGAAAGAAGAAGAAGAAGAAAAATTCATTCCACTTTTCACTCAACTTTTCATTTCCATCCAATATTCATCAAAGTTTATTCAAGTTTGCAAAACATTTTCCAGTTAACAAGCTCACTTGATGCATAATATTCATTACTCATTGTGTATGCATGAGAAAAGTTTCACGGTTGCTCAAATTGAAGGTCAATTTGGTCAATCTTGCGAAGGTAAAACTTGCGTTTACTTGAAGAGCAAAAGAGCAATTAGTTTGGCAAAAGTTTATCCAACGAAATTGTTGAGAAAATTAATGAAAGGAAAAAATCTTTTTCATCTTCAAGTCTCTGAATCAGTTTTCACTTTTTTTTTCTCGTTTCGAAAGCATATTTTCCTCAACCTTTTTGCAATTCAAAAACTTTTTGAATTGTTGATTCTGAAAATTCTGAATAATGATTGATACAGAAAAAAATGAATTTGAAAGTTGAAAGAAAATTTACAAGTTGACTTGAACAGAAGCGTTTAGAGATTTGTATTCAGTTCAATGTTCAACTGAAAATGTAAACAATTCATTAGACTTGCCTCTCAATTTCATGGAAAAAAGTGTCATTGGTTCTCATCATGATTCCAAGAAGCTTTTCAAAAAATTTTATTCTCACATTTCATTGAACTTTACAATTTTTTTTCTTTTCAAATTTTCCCTGACATTCGAAGTATTCCAAACTTGAGTAAATGTCATCGCTTTTCAATGATATAATTATGTCAATAAAAAGAATGAAATTCAAATATTTTCTCCTGCAAAATTGATTGTCAACATATGAACATCGATCCAAAGGAAGAAAAAAAATAAGTTGCAAAAAATTCTGATTCATCACTTTTGCTTGATTAATTTAATTTGCATTCCATGTTGCCAATGAATTTCCTCAATTCCATCGTCTCAATGAGCAAGTTAATTGACGGTAAAATTCAAAGAAAATCAATCATTCCATTTAATCAGTAAATGAAGAATTTTTTCTTTGCAATTTCAGCTTGTTCGAGCAAAGATTTTGTTCATTAGAAAAGCGGATTGAATGAGTTTCGAAACGATTCAATTTTGTGTTTTTCCAATGTAAATGGAAAAGATGGAAAAGTAAAGTTCGTTAAAAAGCTTGTTCAGTTGATGATAACAAGTGTTGAAGTTTCACAATCAGATGAACAATCGAATGTAAATTGTATCTGAAACTTGTGAACTTGGAAATTGTGATTCAGAAGATAATGATGAAAATTGGTGGAAAACAGCTTTTATCCACCAATTTAATTCCTTTTTATCATACCTCAATTGTAAAGCCCTTCAGGGAATTGCGAATTTCTGTTCTTTCCTTTGGCTTTTCTCTCTTTGCAAGACAATTATTTCAATATTGTGATTATTATCAGGGTAAAAACTCATCAGAGTTGAGCTTGCATCCAAGTTTAGTGAACCTTGAAGCTGAGCTAAAGGTAAATTGAATGGGAATCAAGAGTTTCATCCAGAAATTAAAAGCAAATGCATTTCAGTGGGTTTTACCTCTTTTTTCAAGTAAACATTTATTATCATTGAACAGAATGAAAAGATGAACAAGATAATGGAACCAAAGTGTTTACTGAAAGAAGAAAAGTTTACTCTCTAATTAATGATAGACTCGAGTTGATTCAAATGTGTAATAATTGTCTACACTTTTACCGTCTCTTGATCCATGTTAACCCTTTTCTATTCACTTTATTTTTCAATTCAATTTTTGCCTGAAAAGGTGTATAAAAGCCAATTGAATTGAAGAGCAGAAGAAAAAAATCTCGAGGCAAACATGATTTCCTTTTAGCAAATTATCTTCGAGTAAAATACAAGATTATTTCATTATAAAGTTGAACATTGAATTTCAATAAACTCTATCAAGTTGCTCATTC